CCTTCCCCCTGTGGTGGCAGTGCTGGCTCAAAGGCCACTCTCCTGTTCTTGTGCTCCACACTTCTAGTTCATTTATTTTTCTCCTCCTTTGTTGTGGGTCCCTTGTCCAGAGCTCAGGAATGCGGCTCTGGAGGATGATCCGAGTGATAATCCCCACGGAGTTCAGAATGTCCTGGGTCTGGTGAGTTCTCCAGCCTCGCTTCCCCCAGGATGTGTTCATTCCTAGGAAACCCCTCCAGCCTCCCCCAAACCCATGCTTCTCCAAGGTACCCCACCGATTTATTCATTTTTGCTTTCCACTTCTGAAAGAGCGTTATGGCGCCATCATTCACATATAGTGTGAGGTTTAGTATAGTCACCGGGCTGTCCTGCCAACCTCAAATTTCAGAACGTTTTGGTCCCCCCTCTAAGGAAACCTGTACGCCCCATTGCTGTTCCTCCCCCATCCTTCCCACCCCTCCACCCCCTCTGAGCATTTCATATCCATGGAATCACACGATGGATGGTCTTTGGGGACCATGGTTTCCAGGGAAGCATATAGCATGGTTTCATTTCTTTCTGTTTCTAGCACTCCTGCACCCTCAGGGAGAGATATGCAGCTGAGGGAAATGCACATGCACAGATGGCCTTTGCCCAGCTGTTATCCATCCCTGGACTGATGCCCGCCGGCCCTCGCACGCTCCCCCAGCCTGCATGCCCAGCCATGCACTGTGATGTCAGGAGTGCGTACACACAGCAGTCTTTCCTGTGTTGCTTTTAACGCTCGCACTGCTCCGGGTGACGTCCCCTGGCTCCCTCGGGTTTTGCTGACCTCCCTCTTCCTGTCCATCGCCTTGTCCTTCAGTCAAGTTAACAGGTGTCTATCATCTGGCCAGCAGTTTTCCCTCCCTCCCCTTTCCGCCCCTGGTGCAGTGTTTAGACGTAGGCTGCTAACTACGAGGTTCTCCGTTTGAAGCCACCGGCCACTCTGAGGGACAAGATGTGGCTTCTGCTCCCATCAAGAGTGACAGTCTTGGAAGCTCACAGGGCACTTCTCCTTGCCCCCAAGGGTCACCATGCGCTGGCATCGACTCGGTGACAATGAGTTTGAGCGTTTGGGTTCTGACCCATAGTGATCGCATGTGTAGGGTTACAGAGACTGCAGATCTGTAAGAGAGCAGGTAGCCTCACTTTTCTCCTGCAGAGTGACCGGTGGGCTTGAACTACCAACCTTGTGGTTTGCAGCCCAATGGCACGACCAGGACTCCTTAGGTGTTGGAAGATTTCAGTGCACACGACAAAAAGAACTTCCTTTCAAGTGGAAAAAGATAGCAATTCAAAAAAAAGAGGCAAACGGACCTGTCAGTGTTAGTCACTTAAAGCAGAGTAAGGGGACGGAGGCGAGGGCGGCGCTCTTTGGGTAGGCCATCCGAGGGAGGCAAATAGGGTCACTCTATTGACATTTCAATACCGACACATCGGAATAATATTTCCTGCCCTCTATGAATTATCTTTTTTTTAAAATTGTCTCTAGTTTTCTTCTTTCCTGATAGCTCCTAGATCAATCTAGTTTTCTTTCTTCCTTTTCACCCTCTTTTAATGTTTACTTTACATATTTGACTTGACAGCAATCTTACCTGATCTCTCTCTTTCCTGTATAGAAAGCACAGCTGTTTAAACTCCTGTTCCTTACTTTTCAGTTCCGCACAGTTTTTATACTCCTGAACTTGGTCATTACTCTTGCTTAGACAGTTGCCTGCGTGTTTACAATATTTTTTTGCTTACACTGACTCCTGAATTTTTGTCTTCCTCTATGATTCTAGTGCCCTGCTTTCTAAAATATATACTTGGTGGTCCCTATGGAATTTGTAATTGATACATTCTCTCACTTACTGTCTGGACATTCTTAGCAGTCACTATTAGGGATGGTGTACTTGGCACAGAATTCTCAGGTGAACACTACATTTCTTCAGCATTGTACAGGTATGGTTTCATTGTATTCTGAATTTTGGTCCCGATGCTGACGAAACCTATTACTAATCCAACTGTAGCGCCCTTGTCAGTGATCGGTCTCTCTTTTCATTGTTTCTAAGATTGTCTCGTTGTCTTCAATGTTACACAGCTTCCTTTAATTAGTTTGTCTAAGGCAGAGTTTAGTTTTTGTTAAGCTACTCAGGACTTGTGCTTCTTGGGAACATATCAAAGAGTACAATCACAGCACCAGGTAATAGGGAAAGTTGGACATTTTGAGATATGCCAAACTTTTCTATGGCTTTTGCACCATTTCATAATCCTGCCAGCAATATAAAAGGGTTCAATTTCTGTAAGGGGTAGCCTAATGAGCAAGAACCAATGGTACTGAAGAAAGAAGTCCAGGCTGTGCTGAAGGCATTGGCCAAACACAAGGCCCCAGGAGTTGATGGAATACCAAATGAAATGTTTCAGCAAGGGATGAAGGGCTGGCGACACGCACTCATCGATGCCAGGAAATTTGGAAGGCAGCTACCTCATCAACCGCCTGAAAGAGACCTGTGTCTGCATCCGTTCCAAAGACAGGTGGCCCAACAGAATGCTCAGCTTATAGGACAATATCATTGATATCACATATGAGTACAATTTTTGTTGAAGACCCAAGTACATTGACGGCAAGCTGCCAGACATCCAGCCAGACGCAGAAGAGGGTGGGGACCAAGAGATATCATTGCGGATCTCAGATGGATCTTGGCTGAAAGCAAAAATACCAGAATGATGTATCTTCTTGATTATGCAAAGGCATTTTACTAGGTAGATCATAACAAATGTTGGGGACTCTTGAGAAGAATGGGAATTCCAGAATACTTCCTTGTGCTCAGGTGGAACTTCTACATGGATGGGAGGCAGTTTTGTGAACAGAACAAGGGAATAAATACCGCATGGCTTAAAATCAAGAAAGGTGTGTGTCAGGGGTTGTACCCTCTCACCATAATTATCCAAGCTGTATGTATGCTGAGCAAGCAATCAGCAGGGCTGTATGAAGAAGAAGGAGATTGGAGGAAGACTAATGAGCAGCCTGTGATATGCAGATGACACCGCCTTGCTTACGGAAAGCGAGGAGGAGGACGTAAAGCACTTGGTGATAAAGATCAGGGATTGAAGTCTTCACTATGGAATAGAATTTAATGTAAAGTAAACCAAAATTCTCACAACCGGATCCACAGGTCACATCATGAGACATGGAGAAAAGATGGAAGTTGTCAAGGATCTCATTTTGCTTGGATCCCCAATCAACGCTCCTGGAGGCAGCAGTGAGGGAAGCAGGCAAAGGAGGCCTTGGGTTGGAAAAATCTGCCGCACAAGAGCCCTTTAAGGTGTTGAAGCACAAGGACAAAGGCGTGCTGGACCCAAGCCATGGTGTTTCAATGGCCTCAGACACACGTGAAATGTGGACACTGAATAAGGAAGACCAAAGGATAACCGATGCACGTGAATGATGCTGCCGGCAAAGAATATTGACAGCACGTGGACTGCCAGAAGAACAAACAGATCAAGCCTGAAAGACGCGCAGTCAGAATACTCCTTAGAGCAGGGATGGCAAGACTTCATCTCATGAACTTTGGAAATGTCATCAGGAGAGACCAGTCCCCGGAGAAGGACAGCGTGCGTGATAAAGTAGAGGGGCAGCGAAAATGAGGAGGAACCTTGACCAGCTGGATGGACCAATGAGCGCAAACACCGACATCGTTCTGAGGATGGCACGGGACCGGGCAGTGT